TCAGTGCCCCATGGAAGGAGGTTAACACAAGGGAAAGGGTTGACTGAACTCCCGGTCCTGCTGACTGTGCTGGTTGCGTGAAGATGTGCCCACCATTTTTTGGATGCCAGAAGACACCGCCTTCCTCGGAAGTGTTTGCGCAGCTGCAGAAGCCTGGCACCAGCAACTTTGCTTAACTGCCGCTTGAAGTAGGGTCGTCTCAGCTGCAGTCCGGGGGTTCTTCACGGACTGGCTTCCTCGTTTGGAAACACTCCATTGAACCGTTCCGTGCTTCAATTCCACGGTGTCGCTTGTGAGCGGGGCCCATTCAGAAATGTCACGCAACAAACCCTGCACTTCCTGTCTCACAGCCTCTTGCTCTGGCAGAGTTCGGAGCCTGATGTCATCCTTGAAATGCTGCACTAAAACTGCAGAGAACTCTGCATCAAGACACTCGTCGCAATGGCGATGTTGATCTTGAAGGGCGCTCCATTGACAAACAAAGTCAGACAAGTTGAGGCCAATCAAGCCAAACAGGCAGTAGGGCGGGGACCGGAATTCATACTTGAACCTCCTGTGCAGGTCTGTCATGCACAGAGTTGCAAGCTGGAACACTTGGCTCAAGAGTTCGGGCCTTGCATTCAAGCCCATGTCAATGGCCTCCTTCAACCCAGTCTGCAAAAATCTGCAATAATGGCCCACCAATGAATCTCCAAGTCGGCCACTCACTGCATCCAAGAATTTCTTGGAGGCAGCATCCCGCAAATCTTTGCAATGTGGATGTCCGTGTCCCAAGAATGCCAAGTCATGATAAACTTTGGTATGTGACAAGAGTGTGTTGATTCCCGTCTCAACTGGTTTGATCAAAGCGTCGATCACCATAGAGCCCTCACAGAATCTGTCTTTGCCGACTTCTTCAATTACCTTCTTGAGACGCACTTTGTTCTGGGCAGCGTAGTTTTGGTCCATGTCCATTGCTTCACTCAGCAATTGTTCGTAGTCAGCTTCCAATGACTGAAAGCCCCGACCTTCAGCTAACAAAGCATCTGCCCAAGAAGTGATGTCTTGACTTGCCTTCAGGTCCTGTAATTCTGCAAGGGCTTGAGGCAGGAGTTTGAAAAAGGAGCAGCCCAGCTTGACATAGCTTGACGCTTGACCAACATGTTTCATTCTATAGAGCAGCGGAACATCATACCCCCGGCAAAAAATCGGGATGATGTGGGAGAGAGCTTTGGCCACACACTCCCCGTCACTGCTGCAGCAAGGAGGCTTACCATCAGAAGGCACCAAGCACCAGTGCACGAAAGTGCTTTGTTCACTGTCTCCATTTGCGAAATGGAACAGGTCGGCTAAAGCTTGCTTGATGGTCTTTCCATTTCCAGTTGCTATGAAGTCGTTTAGGAGCCAAGTAGTTCGTTTTTTCCAAGTCTCCATCTCTGGTGGGAACTCGTGCACCACCATGCCTAGAGTGCCATCTGAAATGTAATCGTGTAAAAAAGCCATTTCAAGGCTTCGTTAGTCTAAGACTAGGGATTCAATCCTAAACTTCTAGTTTTAACCCGCTATTAGGCCTAAAACCTTGGGGTTGTGGCAAGACAAACACGTTTGGTCGTTCAAACTCTGGAGTGAAATGATAAACTTTTAAGAATTTAGAATTCCCTACCTGGGAGCAATGTGAAAGCTGGCTGTTATTAAGTGCAAGGTGCGCATGCACTGGCCTTCCTTCTGAAACATGGACACGAATGCGTTGGCGAGACTTCTCCGAAAAGAATGTCCCTCGAACAAATGGGCCAGCCTGACTACTGTAGCCCAGTATGAATCCACAGAGAGCACTACGGGTCTTCGCGTCAGGCAAAGTTGATGGTTCAAGCAGCGGAAACGAATGCCCAATGAAGAAACATCTTTTGCTTTGGCACGCTTTGCGCGTTCACATCGCCAAGCGGCGTCATTCGCCTTCAAAGCGTCGCCCATCAGTACAGTAGTCTTCCACTGGCAAGAGCTGAGGGCCCTTGCATCAAACCCGGCACGGCGCCAAAATGCGCCAACACCAGAAGAAGTTGCTACACACCATGATGTGAACCCCTGATGAATGGCACTTGCCTTGCCACTGTTCAACACAAGCAGAGGTGTTGGTACAAATAGGCAGGCGGCTGCATGTTCGCCATCTTCACGGAAATTCACAACTGCCGTCTGAAAGGTGTTCATGATTGTGTACACGACGCTTCTGCCTGATTGAGCCCGTAGCCTAGTTGACGTGTCGTCTGCTGTGCAAACATTCAGAAGGTGCTGGATGTTGCCCCTTCCTTGGAGAAGGGACATCAATGCAGACTTCAAAGAAACCAGTAGGCTCCAAACGCAGCGAGCGCGTTCACGAGAGAATGCCTGCTTTACATCATTGTTGTCGTCTGCTGGGTCAAAACTTGGTTTTCTGTAGGATCCTCTCTGGTACTGGTGGGTGAAAAACCGCTGCTGCAAGCGTTGAGCATAGGTGGGCTCCCGAGTGGGGATCTTTGCTGAGTCAGCCTTTGCCTTCTTTACTGCTTTGGCAGCACGAGCTGGTGCTGTTTGCAATCTTTTTCTCAATGCTTTGCTGTCACGATGAGACTGTTGTCCATCTCTCGTAGATCTGGGCGGCTCTGCAGTGCATGTGACTTCATCATCATCACTGTCAGAGTCGCTGCTGATTGGCTCAGCCTCCAATGGAGGGGCCATGTCAAGGCCATGGCCATGGCGACGAGAGTTCAAAGATGCAAACAAAGACATCATGAATCATGATGCACATCACGAGTAAGTGAGTGTTCCAATAAACGACGTGCACCTCTCCAATCTCCCAGCTCTAGCAATTCATCTCGCCATGTCATTTGTTTTGTTTGTGTGTTTACCCGGTGGCTGCACTAGAAACGCTAACTGACCACACACCCACAGTGAAAGTGCAGAACGTGTGGAAACAAGGACACTGTTGGCAAAATACATGGTTTGCCTGGGCCAAACAACCTTCATCAATCACGCGGTGGCCTCTTCGTCTTCCCTAAAATCTTACAAGGTGGCGCCGGATGACGATCTGATCAAACCCACCTCGCCTTATAGTTCAAGAAGAAGGGATCACATGTGGGACTGTCGCCTTCACCCTTGCCTCCAGCATCAAACTTGTCAAAGATTGATTCGACCTGCAGAATGCTGGGCAGGAAGGCGGAAGGGTGTGATTTGCAAGACTGGTGGCATCAAACTGCAGAACATTGCAGAACCATTACTAGGTCTTGACGTGGAATCCTGAATTTCAGGACTCCTGACTCTGACACTTTCATGACTTGAACACAGGCAGAGTTGAGATGCCTCCTCCAGTAGAACTGCCCGAGGTCGACGGGAGCCTGCAATTGCAGCATTTCATGGTACTCTGTTCTGTGGGACAGTAGAAGTCCAAGTGTAGGTGAGGTGACTCTGCTCTTACTCTTCATTGGATCTCCATCTCAAACCAATCTTTCATCCAAGTGGCGGATGTGCATTGCACAGCTCACAAAGGCTTCTCCGTTTGCAGTTTCAAACGGGTTCACCCGATCTGCAAGTTGTTTTCGCTTGATTGAGGACAAGCGGGAGTAGGGCTGGCAAGGTGGGCCACAGCAAAACAGGTCCTGCATTGAACTGGGCTCAGGGAACAAAGGTGCCCAACATTCAATGCAGTTCATCTAACTCTAAAACTGGACCTGGAACCTACAAGATTCAAGGCCTGAACATTTGAACATCAGTCACTCAGAGATCATTCAAGAGTCGGAAAAACTCAGTCAAGTGTCTCCACCCACGCCTCACCCAGACCCTTTGTCCTCTTGAACTATGCCCTTGTGGCATTCCTTTGAGTTGTGCAGGTGGCAAGTGCGATCCGACGCATTGTCCAAAAAGACGCCAGCATCTGAATATATGTGGTCAACTTAGCCGGTGAGCAGTAAACAAGTGGGCAGAAAAACTAGTAGCTTAAACCTGACAACATCTAGAAGTCTGTCTAAAGGTGTCAAATGACAAATATGTAGAATCTGGTAATCTGGCGTTTGAAATCAAATCTTAGCAAAGTCGATGCCGTTTTTCTTTTCCTTTCTGACTTCTGACTGGAATGAAATGAAATGTAATTAAATCTACCAAAGGTGCTGTTTGGTCCATGGTTCCGTAAGATGTAGCGACGCTTCACATGGTCTTTCTCCATGACTGCAGTTGTCGTGAAGGGAATGCCAAGATGCTCTTCAATGTCCTTCCTGGGGTCAAGCCAGGTTTCAGAAAAAAGACAACTACCATGGACCATGACTGGACCATGTCCTGTCCAGATCTGCTTTGAAACAATTGATTGACTCCTCTTTCATTTCCCTCTTAATTAGCAGCATCTCTTAAGATTGGTTCTGTTGGTCCAAGCCACATGATGTAGGTAGCTGTGCACCCGCCAGCGCAACCTTCAATGAGGGTCAGCCTGGGGTCAGGCACGGTGACAAAATGAGTGAATGGAACATTTGTGCACAACATCTCATAGGCAAGGGATCAACGACTTGCACGGTTCCTGTCATGGATTCTGGGCAGCTACCGGTGAATCTAAATGACCAGTCAAGATGCGAAGATCTGCCAGGTGGTGCCCCGAGATTGGCAGGCAATTGCATGTACGTCTTAAGCTCCTCGACCCAGCGAAAGCATCGGAGTGTCTCAGGAAGAGGAATGATCCTTAGAATGACTCAGGACGAGCAAGGATGTGAGGATGTTGAGGATGTGGCAGGAATCTCAGGTTCCGTCCCTGGTTTGCGCAAAAAACCAACAAAAATTTTCCAGCTGAGACAAAGTCTCTCATCTGGCATGTAAACCTGCCCTTGCTGCTCCATGTTGAATGCTGACGACTGCTAGCTGGCAAAGAAACCCGCACTTGTCTAACCCAGCCCCAACCTGTTGCATGCATTTCGACCTGACCAATTTCCAACATCAGGTTTCCTTCAACTTGGTTGGCGCCCCTACTCGAACCTGAAAAATGCAAATGGCGGCCGTACGTGCATGCCATGATTCCAACCCAAAAAACCACAGACCCTCAACCAGGACATCAGGACATCCCTATATGGAGTTGCACAGCCAGCTGGCGACATAGCATAGCCAGCCACAAACTCATCTACCTAGTGGCCAAGTTCTCGGAGGTGGTGGAGGCGGAGGAGGTGGCAAGCGGGCGGTATGTGGAATCGGAACGGGTGGCGGCCGTGGTGGTAACTTGCAAGGCATCCGTCCTGCCAAAGGTGGTGGTGGAGGAGGTGGGCATCTCATTATTCTTCTCAGTGTTGCCCTCTTTGGTGGAGGCGGAGGCTCTGGTAAATTCGGTCGAGACACTTCAGCAGTCTCAGCTGAAGTAGTCTTCTTTGACAGCCTGTCCTTCTTCTTGATCCTAATCTTTCTTCTCACCTTGACACGCCTCCTCTGGGAGGAACAGTGAGCTGAAGTCGTTCTCTTCCTTTTTGTTTTCATGTTGGAGCCCGTGGCTGCGCACAGAGGTGAACATAATCACTGTGATCAGTGATCACTGATCACACTCACATGTGTGCCCCAAGCCCCCTTTAGAAGAAATAGTTTCTAATAAACTTATAGGAGTCCTAGACTATGGGGGACTATGGGTAACTACCAGTGGCTCTGCCTCTTTTTCCTTTTGCTGTATGATGTGACATGCGCACTCACGCAATGTCCAGTAGTATGTCACCAATGTATCCTTCAGATCCATATCATTGTCGCCAGTTGGTACTGCATCAATTTCCACAGTACGGAAGCAAATGACAAAAGGTGCACTAGGTGCAACAGCTGGGCCAAAATATAGCCTCGCACTCATCCTGACTGGCAGGTTTTGGTTTCCAAGCTGCATGACGGCCTGGTAAAGGGCCCCCTTGATATGTTCCAAACAACTTCTGGTCCTTGTGCTGCCTAGAAATTATTTACATGCAGGGCCACAGTAGTGGTGGTAGTAGTAGTAGTAGTCATCCCTTCACCTGCCTCAATTACCCTGGTGCATGGGCCTCTTCAGGCTTCATTGGTTTTATATATAGTTCCCAATAATTTATAATATATAGTCCCAAGATCCTAACAGAGAGCCAACATAAAGAGGCCCATGCACCTCCCAAAAAATAAAACAATCAACACGTGGCAACCTCCATATGTCCTTTGATTCCAAGTAGCTGGGCCCGCCCATAGCATCTCGGCGCTCAGGAGGAGGAGGAGTCGCAGCTGCATGAGGATAGCGAGGGGCCGAATCCAGAGGAGCTCCTTGCTGATGCTCAAAGGCGCAAAGCACCCAGTCCAACTAGGTATACGCACCATAGATGGCCGCGTGTTTTGTGCTCTTATACATGATTCCTTTGCTTCAGTATTTGCAGGGCCACTGAGGAGAAATTCGAAGGTCTGAAGGATATGTTTGAACACGGCCCCTGACAGGGGAGAAGAAAAACAGTTTCCAAACCACCTTAGAATTACGGTTCAGCACTAGCACCTCACAACCCCAGAAACTAACAACACCTCGGACGTTTTTTCACGTCTTCAGGAGTCGTCCAAGTTCGTCCCAAAAATCATTCGGCGTTTTGCCAACGATGTTCTGTGTTCTGTCGCCGCATCACTGACAGCACGGTTGCTTCAGACAGGGATTCAGCAGTGTGTGACCATCCTCTTGTTTCATCGTATTTCTCTTGGAAACGTTTTAGTTACAACAGATTCATCCCAAACACACAACCAACATCGAAACAACCAACACAATGTTCAAACACTCACGTCCTAAGATCTGGTCGTGCACCGAAGTTCTTAGAGAAACCAAAGAAACCAAGATAACATCAACACAAAAACCATCTTTCAGGGCATCCCGAAACGAAAACAGCAACACTAAGTCACTAAGCAAAGGGAAGCCGAACTGTTCAAACACAACTCCCTCATGGAGTTGTGTTTCTATATCATGAAAAAAAACAAAAACGCCGTGCGATACTCATCAAAGCTCAACCCCTAAAACCAACCTGTAAAACTTCACTGACACCGTCCAGAAACCCACAGTCATAACCTAACCATAACCCATAACGTCATTACGTCATTACCATAACGTCATTACCCCCCCACCCCACCCCCCCAGATGTGTCTGTGTGTGCGTGTTTGTGATGTCATGGTGAAGCAAGCACATGTATTATGTGACCGAACCGAAAACGACGTAAAGAACAGTTTAAAAAATTAACAAAACACCACTGCCATCTATGGCGCTTGCTCCAACTACCAGACCTGGGGGCATGCTGGTGTCCAGTGTGTTTTTGGAGGCAAGCTACATGAGAAACGATATGTTAGAGTTTAAGATAGAAGTGGAAGGATAGAGGGAAACTGTCATGGACCCTGAAAATCATTGATCCCCATGTTTGGCCACGGATTCTGATTGCTAAACCAGCAGCGCAGGACCAATCAACAGAAGATCATCCGGTGAGCCATCATCCATAAGCGACATTGCCAAGTGCCACTAGAACTCCTACGCAAACCAAAGCACAGAAGGTGGTTTTCCCAACCTAGTCTGACAAGAGGTATGTGTTGTCTTTTTAGCGGTTCCACTTGGCCCACCAGGCGCGGTGCCTTTGGAGTTCTTTTGGTCCGTGTGCTAGCGGCTCACAACTTGATCAATGCAGATTGGTGGAGCCTCTCTGATCCCTACACCAAGGCGCAAGTGGGACCCGAGTCGTGGAGTTCTTTCATGTTCTTGGAAGAGCTTTGGGCCGAGCAGTCAGGGTAGTTGCTTTGCATTTGGTAGACGGTGGTCATCATTTTTAAGAGCCTAAGGAGGTGAGTTATAGAATCAGCCCATACCACCGCAGTCATTCTGATCTGACAAGTCAAATCGATCGGTTTACAGTGGATTTTAGAGGCACACTGGCAGGTGACAGTGGATGGAGACACTAGAGTCACTGCTGTGGTGGACGACTGCTACCTGGAAGCGTGAAACGCACTGCTGCAAATGTGCGATTAGTTGGCCAGGGATTTCCAGGCTTCCAAGTAGATCAGGGAGGTGAACATGTCAGGCCTTCTTTATGTTTACATATTTTTGTTATGGCGACTGTTAAATGATTGGTGACTTGTAGGAGATTGGACTTGTCGCGATGGATTTCCATGATTTCCAAACGGCCGTTACACCCCAAAGTTGGCCACTTTTCGCGATGGGCCAAGGCTTGGATCCACGTTGGGACGAGGAGCTTTGGAGCTTCGACGTAGCAGCCCTTTGACCTGGTGGGCAGCACTTCAGAGAACCATGTGTAGTGGCTATCCATCTAGTCATGAACCTGGAGGATGACTGTAGTTATATAGCTTCCTGTGTAAGAGTGCAGGTTTGCTTAGAACCCACCGCCTTAGCCAGTTCAGTCATCCACAAGTGCCACCAAGTCTCAGAGACTCTTCTGGCTAGTGGCAGTCTTCCATGACCCCATAACTCCAAGGTCTTTGGACCACATTGTACCTATGCGTGTTGGACCAATGTGAACTGCTGAAGCGTTTGCTATCTGGCAAAGGATGTGGCCCCCACAATAAAAGTCATTGTCATTGTCATGTTTTTTAAAACCACCATGAACCCATGGAATTTCATGAATGGGTGTCCTTGCCTTCCTACCCAAATGAGCATCGTTCAAAAACTAGGTGTTCATATTTAGTAAGGACATGTTCATAAGGACACTGTGCGTAAGCAAAAACCTGAAGTGCGTAAGGTTGCGCAAACATTTTTTGGCTGTATTGCGTAAGCAAAGTGCGTAAGCTTGACTTCTCCATGTATTTGCATGTGTGCTTGCTTCAACTTTCAAGTATTGGGATACTGGGAAACCAATCAATACCAATCAGATGTGTTGAGACATGTTTGTTTGAGGAACCTATTCTTGCAGGTGATGATTGATGTTGGCACCAAGTAAAATCATATAGCAAGTCAAGTGCGTAAGCTCATGTTGTGGTGTTGTGGAGAAAGTTTGTGTTTGCGTAAGCTCCGCGCAAGCGCTTCATGTCCCCTGCATGGCGCGTAAGCTGAAACGTGAGTCGCGTAAGCAAAGCGCAAGCGTGTGCGTAAGCACCTCATGACGAAACTTCGCTTCAAAGACAGGTTTTGAACAACGCTCAAACGAGCATAACATGAGTTGCCCTGCTGGAACTGAGCCTTTGAGAAAGCACAATCAATGAACATCTACACGCATCAGGACCATATGTAACTCTTTTGGCCAGTTTGGCTCGAAGGTCTAAAAGAGACACACCGGACCCATTGGATTGGACCAGCGTGCGTTTTCATGAGGGATGAAACTAACTAACCACAGTTGCAGCAATAGTGTCCTTTTCAACGAAAGTACACCTGCACCAAAGAGTGAGCCTTGAACACTACCTCCACTTGCTTGGCTCGCAGCACCAGGCAGAGTCCAGCCTGGTGCGCTTAGAAGTCTGGGACAAGGATGCGATGCAGGACTCGAAGCAATATCGATAAACCAACTTTTTCTGACAAAGTATATGTGGTGGAAAACTTTGGCCGAGGATCATGGGTCGATGCTACTGTAGTTGATTCATCCAACACCCATGGTGTGGCTCGTTGGGGGCCATTTGCTTTAAGACAGGAATGATTTCTATTGTACCTTCGGCTGGTGCTTGTAACTGATGTGAATTGACTAGTCTATTGACACTGTAAGCTCTGTGAATTGCGTGCAGTGCTTTATCACCAAGGCAGTTGACTTGACATTCGGATGTAATTATTGTAATAGGTAGAAGGACAAACAGACCAGTCAACCGGAGAGTGTTTTTTGCACACCTAACTATATATTGAATTTCACTATCAGCGCTCTCATAAGGAACCAGAGTAACTCGAGTTCAAAGCCTGACAGCCTGAATCTTTGGACCTGGTTGAGTACTGTGCTCTTCCTCCATGCATTACACGCTACTAGGGGCTCCTGGCATCGCTACTAGGAGCATGAAGCTACTAGGGGCTCCTGGCCGTGCTACTAGGAGCAAGGACGCTACTAGGGGCTCCTGGCATCGCTACTACCTGTAGTCGTGGCTATATCTGATTATCTCGTCGCTTGCCAGGACGACCCCCTGGGCCATGTGGCCATCCCAGTGGCAATGGCACCCGGCGAGGAGCTGAAGCGCTTGCGCTTCGCGCTGGACCGGGTGGCGCACCTTGGACTTGAGGGCAATGATTTATAGGAGGTCTGGTGTAGTGGTGAATATTATGAGGATGACTCTTAGCCGCCTTAGCCATCCTGAACAGACTGGTACTGTTCTCTTCCTCTCCGCCCTCAAGAACTGGAACACAACAAGAGAAAAGTTGCTGTTCTTGTTTGATGCACACCTAAGTGATGATCCCTTTCACCCATTTCGGAATCCCAAACAGGAGGCTGGTGATGGCTGGGATTGAGAGGCGGTCCCCTTGGACTCACAATAATATGTTTTGTCACCTGGTGGAATCCACAGGTAGAAATGGAAAGGTTCAAAGCATTCCACTGGCAGTGCTTGAACGTAAAGAGATTGTGCATATGTCGTACGTTTTCAAGTAAGAAACTTCAGTTAACTCATTTGCAGAAAAGCTGTAACAATTGAAATGACAGGAGCTGTTGGAGATTGAAGCAGATTGAAAGAGATTGGAACAACTGATCATAGCAAATCTCTTGCCTTTGACAAACGGCTTGAGACACTTAGCCCGTTCTGTTCAGCGCTCTTGAGGCATGGCGAACTGGAAGTCGAGATGAGATTTCTGAGGCCCGCAAGAAATATCGAGAGAAACGCATAAGATATGTGTATATATGTATATGTGAATATATATATTATATATAACTATATCACTATAAAATACTAATACAATTTAAGTCATGTAATATGTATTTTATAATACATACATATAATATTGTATGAGCCTCATCGAGATGGCTCCAAAACTCTCGAGATGAATCATCTAGCCGTTTGTATGGTTCTTCGGAGAGGAATGACTCCTGCGTCCATTTTTGCCAGTCTGCCTCAGACCGGCGCTGCTCCTTTCTTCTCAACCTGCCCCTTTATGTTGGCAGAACTTGGCTGCCACAGGGCGATCTTTGTTGCATGTATGTTTGAAGTTGAAGCTTTGCTAGGCAGAAGACTTCGCGGGACACGTATACAACGCGAAGCTTGAGAGGAAGGGTTTGAGAAGTGTTCCTCATGTGCTGGTCAATATGATCAATACTCTGCCTTTTTTCAGGAAGCATTGGCTCTAGGTCTTCGGCTTTAGTCTTTGGTAAGTTGGGCGTTTTTGTCTCGGACCATTGTCCAATGTTCATAAAGCAAACGGCATATTAGCTTCCTGGCATTGCTACTAGGAGCAAAAACGCTACTAGGGGCTCCTGGCCGGACTACTAGGAGCAAGTAGCTACTGGAGCAAAAGGCGACCCGTCTTGTCTCGGACACCCATAAAGATTACCTTTTTTGGAAGATGTAACCCAAGCATCCACCTTGACCCTTCGTAGAGAAAGTTGTCGCAGCCGATAATTTGAACGCTTCCACCGGCGCAGGGTGGAGACAGATGATTCAGCTGACTCTCTTCTTCAGTCGGGCGGTGCTAGCCGCAAGCTGCCATCACCGAAAGCAGCGAAAGGGGCATAGTCAGCATCGGACTGTTTGAGCGACTGTGCAGTCGAGCCATGAGGGACTGAGTCACAGGGGTTGGGTCCAAGATTCAGCGGCGCCCCAGTCCACCAGAAGGGAAAAGACTGCTTGCACATTGGTTTTTCTTATGTTTTTACCCGCAGACGGCCAGGTGTTTGAACGGCCAGAAGCGGATTATGCCCCTTCACCAGGAGCGAAGTAATGAGCATTCGCCTGGACTGGAGGAGTCGGGCCAATCAGGCAAGCGATATTATCCACACGGAGCAACGAAGATTCTCTCACAGGAAAGAGCATTCTTCACAACTGACTGCTGATTGAATTAATCAAAGATTCCTGATTCCCTCCCGTCTGCGCCGAAAAACAGCCGCGTCTCCAGCGATGCCGCGGCCGTTTTTCCTTACGTGTCGCGCCCCTCGTGCGACTGCGTGGAGTTAATGTTTGGAAGCCACTGGCTCAGCCAGAAAAGGACTTCCCACCGAAGAAAAATGCTTCGTTTCCAAAAAAGAAGCGCTATGTCCCTTTGGGTAGGGGGAAGAAATGGTATACGTTGTGGGCCACGAGACATAGACATCACGCCATCATCCGTCGCTACCGTTCATGGTTACACTTGACACACTCAAAGGTTTGTTGTGACTGCCGGTAGAAAGGGCCAGGCATTAGCTGGGTAAACTTGCATAGACCATCATAGGACATACCTGCCACACTGTCCCACGCTATCCCAGCAAGTAATAGCAGGTGAAGCTACCGGTCACTGGGACAAGAGTTAGATTCCTTTATCATATTCTTTAGATTAAATTAGAACAAAGCAATCTTGCACCATGCTGCGTTGGTTCTTTCTCTTGGTGGCTCTCCATTCCTCAAATCCTTTGGTCACCAATCCCACGGAGGGAGTCCACCAGGTTCCAGACAGGCGAGTCCACATGGGACTACGACGCGGCTCAGATCCAGCGCGCCGCGGACCGTGATCGCAAACGGTCGCAGAGGTGATGTTTCGGATTGTTTGGCGTTGAAACAGCTGATCCTGTTGAAGGCTTTCCATCAATTGTAATCGGTTTTTACCCGTGTAATTCGTCACACACAAGGATTCTTGGTATGAGTGCGGAGAAATTGGCTTTTGTATGTCTTCGTGGGTAAAGTCTAGTTTCAACACACCCGGCAAAATATATGCATTTGAGTATGGGCCTTGAGGGTCATCGTCAATCTTGGATCTTGCCAAAAACCTGCAGAGCGAAGGCCTCCAGGGCTTAGAGGGACTAGATCGTCATGCACTGTAGGTGATCCATGAAAAAGGAACAAATCTTTGCTCATAATTACAGATTTTTTATTTATGTGATGGTTTCCAGTTCCATCTTTGGGGGGGAGTGGAATGCAAGTTAGCCAAGGCCTACCAGAAGTGGTTTTCCTTGGGTGGTCACATTTTAATTTCCGGGATCTTGATGGATAATGTCCTTCCTGAGAGGAGAACCCTTTCCATAACTATGTGGACGGCCCGGCGGCTGAGCAACTGGAGAGAACTCTTGCTGACACTGAGGGTCACTGACGTTGATGTCGAGATGCCTAAAGACCTAGGATACTATTGACTTACAGAAATCTTACTTTTTAAGAAAGACACCTGTGTCACCTTACATAGGGAATGTCCAAGGGTTTGGCTCGGATGCTCTTTGGTTAGGGTCTCCTCAGCCTCAGCTCTGTCAGACTGTGGTGATCAAGACCAAGAGGACGTGATCTCTCTACACCTCAAACAATTCTACAATGTCATACAAGCTTGCGACTCGTGCATGTTCATCAAGAGCCTGCAACTCGATGAGCATACTTGTACATGTTTCATGTCTTGCAATGTCCATGGGTAAAGACACACATGCTTGCAATATATCACGTGCTGAATTCGCCAAGCCAAAGCCTGGAGGCTACAATCCAGACATTGTAGATCCATTTGATCCTAAAGAGGCTGGGGAGCATGAGGCATGCAAAGCCTGTTCAACGTGAGTGAGCACAGCCACATGCGACATGGTGAGCGGACAAAGATCTCCACTGCATTGAGGTTATAATCGGTGTTCGGAGATTATATCCACAGTATATGAGCTAGAGCTAGAAGAGGCTAGAGGCTCCTTTTGTCATGTGTTGTCTCCTCGCGTTCAAAGACATTTCTTTAAGCCTTGCTTTGAATGAAGTGGCCAGGTGTCAGCAGAGTGGTGAGGGCCTCCCAGACATGACCTTGAGATGATTCTCAGGGTTTCACGGAGGCTTTCAACTGGAGGGTATGGCTTGTAAGTACAGACTGTAAAGAGCTGAATTCCACGGATCTTTTTCATTTGAGGCTTTGAGTTGTAAGCATTCAATATTTAGCATCATTTAACTCCCTCTTTCACCCGTTTCTTCTTCGCTGGGATAAGCCTACTCAAGAACACGTGGTCGATGAATCATATGTCTGGCTGGTGTTGTGATGAAGTGTCAGCACGCGAGTCTCAAAACTTTTGAAACTACTTTCACCGCTCAAGATCTTGAGGTCTTGCAGTCTTACAAAAGATGTGTCTCCATGTGGGTCACTAGATGATTGCAGTGTTGGGTGCAGTGCTCCACACACCTCAGATTGCGAACCAGACCCTTTCACAGGACCAGAGTTACAACAGCCTTTGACTGGGCTCATGATCATTCGATTTATCCTCCAAGACTGGTTTTTCCTGTTGATGTGTGCAGTTCGGGGCGCAACTGTAGAAAATCCAGACATCCCACCAATCCAGCAGAAGTCGATTCCAGGTTTATCATGGTGTATCCAAGATACAATCTTCAACCTCTCCATTGCGATTCGATCCCACATGTCCCAGATGCACTTGGCGCCAGAACACCTGGCTTCAATCCCAAAGATTCGCTGGTTTATATCGTTTTGGCCGACCCTTCAACAAAACCATCGTTTGGGATTTGATCCAAAAAGAGTCTTGAGGGATCTATGAGCTTGTTCTGACAACTCGTTTGGCATCCACCTGCGGACGTGTGCCTGAGGTTTGCCAGCTTGCCGTCCGGGGGGTCGGAGCAGGCGGCAGTCAGTTTGCAAACCAACCTATAAGTATGTTTGCCTTTTCCTTTTTGCATGTTTATCTTTGCTTGTAGGATTCAGAACTCTCTTCCATTCGGAGTGCAGTTGTTCTCAGTTCATTAAAGGAGAAGGTTTGCAAGTGGTTGTGGAATGGCGATGGCCTCCAACCTAATAATTAGCGATGGCCTCCACCCTAGCAGGGCCTCCAACCCAAGAGCGATCATCCAGATAGAATTTGAAGGTCATCAACGATTGCAGCTCAAGGGCACAAAGACATTGCAGTTGACAATGACCTCGGAAATGTCTCCCGCAAGAGTTTGTATACTGACTGAGGACGACTATACTATACAGTATATTTACGTATGCTCAGCAGCGACGCCTCATATTGGTGCTGTACCAGAACAACATATTAAGGGAACAAACAGTGCGCAAACACCTCCATCCAAATCTCTAGTTTCAATCAGTTCCGTGGAAGGCTCACGAGCGTCTCCACCGGGTTTTGGTTCCAACTGGGCTTGTTTCAACGTAGGGGAGCTTGCCACGCACGTCTCCTATCTACGTCTCATCTACCATTGCTAGACCTGCAGTCTTTGCATGGAAATGCATGGAGTCAACTCGATGCGTTTCATCTATGCCTCCCTTTTCTTCCTTGGTGTCCGTCCAACGTCCAACTGCCAGGCCTTCCAGACTTTGCCAGAGCCGCAGAATGGCCCGTATGGTCACGCACAGAAGACAGGCATCTGGTACCATAACGATGGAGGCAGGGAGGAAGAGAGAGCGCTCAAGCTGCACGTGTCAGTATGTAATGGATGATGTATGATGTCGATTTCCTTTGGTTGATATGAGGGGTCTTTCAATGATGCGATCTGAGTGGCGATCACATTTGGCATTGCTTGTGGGCATCTAGTCATATTTAGATCTCAGGCTGAGACAAATATTTGACAAGCTTGAGAGCATGGCTTAGAATTGATTAGTCCCCACCAGTGTGCCTCGCGACGGGATGATACGCTGCAAAAGGATGGGACTTCCACAGATAGTGTGATGAGTGTCAACAGGGACGATCAACACACTTTAAGGCTTGAGTTAAGCTGCTATTGGAAAGGTTTCAATAGACGCGTCGCTTTTGAGGAGGCTGGTGCCTTGTCCTTGTCCCTGTTGGTTGAAGTGCTGCTTTTGCGGTTCAATTTCTTCGAGGTCCTCCATGGCACTGGCTAGGCATGGCCATGCACCTCCGGGCTTGGACCAGGGACAGTCGTCAGGCCAGTTCATTGATGCCTACGACTACCCAGAGAAATATGCGGAGCAAGCCGCCTTGCAGAAAGCCACGGCGCGGGGCTGGGCAGAATTGATGTGACAGGAGCTTTGGCTCGTGGTTTTGAGTGGTTCTTTGGTATCCAAACAACACAACATTTGCCTGGGTATTTGTGGGGTGTTGTTCCATGCTCTCACCGTTGATTTCAAGAATAGTGTGGGTCTAGTTTTCAAGGGGTGCAACATGCACACCTCCAACTTTTGGTATTTTGGAGGCCATCGCTCTTAGGTTGGAGGCCATCTCTTCTAGGTTGGAGGCCATCGCTAGTGTGCACCTCGGCCTAGCTGCGAGCTTTCTTGCAGGGTGGAGATGTGCTTCACTTGTTGAAGGGCGCGGCCAAGAAACAGGCGAATTGGTGGGAGGCCAAGCCCGTCTTTGCAGATCGTGCCGGGGGTGAATCTGTGGAGAGACTCCCAAACCAACGGGTCCACTTCTCTGGAGATGTCATGTGTACTTCAGATTCCAGATCGATTTGCCGGACCCTGTTGATTTCTATATTATAACTGATAGTTGGATGTTAAGGTTTTCCTAAAAGGCAGCTGGACACAAGAATCACAGTCGCAAAAGCAACGCAGTTGAGGTTTGCAGCCATATGCCACACAATATACTTTGGAATTACATATATATATATATATGTATATATGTATCCAT